ATATTTATATTTATTTAATTGTTAAGAATTATGAATAAATTCCATCAATATCACCAAGAAGAAATTTTGATCATTAAACAACGCTAAAAGAGTCTATTTTAGATTCATTCTAAAATCACTGTAAAAATTCAAAAGTGTTAATGCTTTAACGTTATATTGAAATTAGAAACGGTCATAAATAAACTCATAGTACTGAAAAAAAAAATTCAAGATAAAAATTCTTAGTAAATAAGAGTTATTTTGAACATCAAATTGATTAATTTTGAAAATAGTTTGCACAAACATTGCATAAACCAGCGCAAATGTTGACAGGTTTAAAGGCTCAAATAAATAGGAACAAACAAATTAAGGATAGAATTAAAAAAAATAAAAAAAAAAAAAAAAAAATGGTTCCCATGATTTACTAAATTTTCATGAATTTCAACATCAACATTTCAAATGGGGACTGTTAATTTTTAGACTTCTTTCTGTTTGTCTTAAATATGAAATATCTAAGAAATTTTTAATTTTTTTTATATGAAAAATGAATTAAAGAATATGCAAGAAACTTGTCCATTATTCTGCCGATTTTTCACATATAGAATATATAAATACTTAAATATGTGATATCAGTTAAGAAAAAACTTGTTTATGTTGTAATAAAAATGTTAAATATGTATCAAGTTAGGAAGTATTTTCCAAAGCTTAAAAATATGCATCCATTTTTAAAAATTTATTGTTAGACAAAAATTATATTATATCAATTAATATATTTATTAATAAAAAGAATTTAAGATATAATTATTTAACTACTTCGACCATATAAATAATGAAGGTTTGGTACCGGAAGATCAGATAAGAAGTAAAATTAAAAATTGAATCCAAGTTTCTGAATGACTGCGATTTAGTCAAATATTATGCAGGATTGTCTTCCCAAGAATATACAGTTTAAAGTAAAATTTTGTACCTATTCTTTGTTTCAATACATTTTGTTATTTTACATTTTGTAAAAAGTATTATTCCAATTTTTATTTTTTTTTCAACAGTTAAGAAAAACTTCTTTCTGTAATTTTTTAAAATAGTATGTATAATTAAATAGATGACTTAAAAAAATTGGGAAAAAAAGAATATGCATCCGTTCAAAAAATAGATTTTTTATTCAAATTTTTAAAAATGTGTATTTTTAAGAAAAATTTCTTTTTGTTGACCTTAAATATATGTATCAGTTTGGGAGAAGAGAATTTCCTGTTATAATGTTCTTAAAAAGAATATGCATAAATTAAATTAGATTTTAAAAATTAAAATTACAAATAAAAAATTATATTCATTTAAAAAAAATCTTTATGTTGACCTTAAATTATTATAATTGTTTTTTAGGAAAATCTTAGAATAATAATAAACTATTTAAAGAAAACTGGAAATTGTTAATTGGAAAATTTCTTAGAAAAGAAATCTTAAAAGAAAATATTTTTTAAAAAAACTTCAAGGATAACCTTATTTTTTTATCAATTCCAAAATAAACTTCTTCCTGTTGAATGAAAAGAATATGCATCCGTTAAAGGATATTTATATTTCTTATTAATATTTTTTTGATGTGATAAAGTTATCTTTAAAATTGAATTTAATTAAAATTTCAATAAAATATAGTATCAGTTTTAAAACCATTTTCTTTCCTGAATTTAAAAAAAAGAATAAAAAAATTTTTTTTTTTCTTATTGTTATTTAAAAGATGTTTTATCAGGATTGAAAAACTTCTTTCTGTTGACCTTAAATATGGAATGAAAATCAATTAGGAAGATTCTTCCTGTTGCAATTTAAAAATAATGCATCCGTTAAAAAAGATAATTTAGAATTTAGGAAAAAAAATGTAATATTTTAGTTAAAAAACTTTTTCTGTTGATAAAAAATTTGTTATCAGTTTGGGAAAAAATTTCTTCCTGTCACAAATTAAAGAATATGAAATTGTTAATTGTATTTTTAATTTTCATTGCAAGCAATTAAAAGATTCTGATCAGTTAAAAAAAACTTTTTTTTGTTGACCTTAAATATATGGAATCAGTTATTTAAAAAACTTTTCCTGTATAAAAAAAAAGAAAATGCAAAAAAATGTTAGATTTCTTATTGTTGAAACATATTAAATGATGTTTGATAATGTTAAAATGAAAAAACTCAAAAATCATTTTTTAATTTCAAATATAGATTTATCAGTTAGGAAGACTTCTTCCTGTTGGTTAAAAGAATATGCAATCCGTTGTTTTTAGAAGAAAATATTGTTAGGCATAAAAAGATGTGTATCAGATTAAACAAAAAACATTTTTCTGTTTTTTTATAAATAAAATATATTCAGTTTGATACACTTATAAATTTGTTATAAAGGAATATATGCATCCGTGCCATAAATTGAAATTTCTTATTGTTAGACTTAAAAGATGTTATCAGTTAAGAAAATTTTTTTTTCTGTTGACATTATTTGTGTATCAGTTATTTTATTAGACTTATTTTCTGAAAAGGCTTAAGGAATATGCATCCGAAAAAGAAGTAGATTTTTATCATTTAGACTTAAATATGATAAATTTATATGATAAAAAAAAATAAATCAAAAGAGAAAGTTAAAAATGTATCAGTAAAAAAAGACTTAAAATTATAGCTTATATTTAAATAGATGTATATCAAATTTAAAGACAAATTATATAAAAAAGGATAAAATATCAGTAAAATGTTTTTTGTCAGATAAATTTTCATTTAAAAAAAAGCTAATATGTAATTTTCAAATTTTTCCCAAATAAGCGGTTTTTTTGAATTGCAAATGAATATATCAAAAACTCAAATCTAACAATTAGATAATTAGGAAAATAAAACCATTTCGGATAAAAACGACCAGAAAAATTTCGAACTTCTTAATACTAAAAAATTGTCATCCTTATGTCTAATTATAATAATTAAATTAAGAATTAAAAAATTGAAAAAGTTTTTTTCAATTAGAAATCTGAGCAAAACTCCTTTCATTTAATTCCTTATACTTAACTTTCAAAATAAAGTTAGGTGTTATTTTTTTTTTTTTTTTTTTGGTTATTCTTTTTTTTTATAAGAAAGTTAATTTTCAAAAATAAGGGTTAGGGTTTTTTTTATTTTTGGAAAAAAAAAAAAAAAGAATGTTATTGCTTACAAATTAGAGTTATATTTTTTTTTTTTGAAATAAATTTTTTTGTCGAATATTTATGAAATAATTCACCTAAAAAAAAAAAAAAAAAATATTTATGGAAAATGATTTTCAAATATTAAAATGAAAAAAATTATTTCAGTAAAGAAAAAATGATGCTAAAGGTGTTAAAATGAAAAAAACCAAAACAAATATTTTGGTTTAAATAATTTTGAGTTTAGAAAAGAACTTCTTTCTGTTATTTTTGAAGGATGCTTAAGTATTAACAGAAAACTCCTTTCTAAACATAAAAGGATTTTATCAATTACAAGTATTTTCAATTTTCTTTTTTTTTAAATATGTTACCGAAATAAAAAAGAATACTTCTTTATGTTGGGTTTAAAATAAAAAGAAAAGGAATAGAAAAAAAAAAAATTCATTGGCCTTAAAGAAATTGTATAGTTAATATAGGATAGATTTGTTCTTTGGGGAACGAAATGCATAATGTATCATTTAAAATTAAAGGAAATTTCTGTTGGCTCTATTAAAAACTGAAAATATATTGAAAAGACTAAAAGAAAAAAAAAGAAAAATGTTTTTAAAGATAGGATAAAGTTTCCATCAACAGTTTAAAAATAAAATTTTTAAATGTTTGTCAGATGAAATGATCCTGTTTGAAAGAGATAAAAGGAATCCAAAATATTTTAAAAATGTTAAGTATGGTGCTGTAATAACTTGGGGATGTTTAGAATGAGATGCCATTGAAGACTTAAAAAAAGATTAAAGAGAAAGAAAGGAATTATTCTATATTCACATAAAAGTATGCAAAAAAAACTGCCGTGTAAACAAAGAACCAAAGAAAGAAAAACAAAAAACAATGAAAGAAACTATAAAAGGAAAAACTTTCTAAAAATTAAATAGGAAAAAAAAAGGAAGATAAAGAATTTTTAAAAAAATGTAGAAAGAAAGATTAGTCTCCAGAAGAAAAAAAATTTGAACTAGACTGGAAATAAAATTGATCGATAAAGTTCGAAAAAAAAAAAAGAAAAGATTAAGCAAGAGTTGAAAATCACACAATAAGCAAATGCTTAGGAATCAAGAATGGCAAGAAAATTGTTTAAGAAAAAAAAATAAAGAGAAGATGCCAAGAAATTTGAAGAAAAAAATGAAGAATGGTGGATTCTTTGATGAAAAAAAATATAAATTTGCTTGAAAATTGAAAGAAATAGAAAAAGAAATAAAAAAAAATTTAAAATAGAAAAACTTGAATGCAAACATAGAAAAAAAAAAAAGAAGAAAATTCTGCTTTTAAGAAAACGAAAAATAAAAAAAAAAAAGAAAAAAAGAAAAAGAAAATAGTAAAAAAAGATATAAATATATATAATATATAAATAGAAGAATAAAAAAAGTTATGAAAAAGAAAGAAAGAAAAGAAAATAAAAGAAAGAAAGAAAAAAGAAAGAAAGGAAAGAAAGAAAAAAAAAGAAAGAAAGAAAGAAAAGAAAAAAAGAAAGAAAGAAAGAAAGGGGGAAAGAGAAAGAAAAAAAAAGAAAGAAAAAGAAAAAAGAAAGAAAGAAAAGAAAGTTGAAGAAAGAGAGAAAGAAAGAAAAAGAGAAGAAGAAAAAAAAAAAAAGAAAGAAAGAAAGAAAGAAAAGAAAGAAAAGAAAGGGGAAAGAAAAGAAAGAACAAAAAAAAAAAGAAAGAAAGAGAAAGATAAAAGAAAACAAAAATAATGAAATAAAAAAAAATATCCCTTGAAGATATATAACGACTTATCACTAAAAACAAATCTATCAAGGAAACCAATCTTCAGTCACACCCTACAATAATCTCCTGAACACAAGTTCTTTGCTGTTTTTCAAGTGCTGGTAAATAAAGAGAGATGATCATAACCTACGTTCATTATTGTTCGTTATTTTTTATGTATTTATTGTTCAATAAAATCACAATCACGTGTGTCTAGCGTTCTTACTTTCTCGTTTTTTCTTTCTCCTAAAAAACTATCAATTAGCCTCTCTTTCTTTTTCTATATTTTCTTACACATTCCCTCTTACTCCTTACTCTCCTTTCTCACTCACTCTCCCATCCTCTCAGCCTTCTATATCTGTTACTACATTCACTCTCTCTTCTCACCTTTACCCATCTCTCTCATTCTGTGACCTCTTTCAAAAGCGCTTAATCTTTCTCTCGCTTTCGTCTCTCTCGTTCTAAGTCCTCATTCACGTTGTTTTTCTCTTTCGTTTTTTTTTCTTTCTATATTTCATCTTTCTCGTTCTCTTTGTCTACTTTTCCTTCTCTTCTTCTTCTTCTTTTCTGTCTCTTTCTCTCTCATCCTTATAGATTCTCTTCAACTCTCCCTCACTCTTTCTTCTTACTCATTCTCTCTCTCAGCTCTTTCATGACGTATCCTCTTTAAATTAATATCGCTTTCTTTTTTTTCTCTCTCTCTCTCTTTTTCTATGTACTCGTTCAACATCTTCAGCTCTTTCGTCTTTTGCCTTCTCTCGTTCTCTATTCTCCCCTCCTCCCTCTCTCTCACTTTCAGCTTTCTTTCTTTCTCTCTCTCTCTCACACACACACACACCCTCACTAATCTTTCTATGTTCTCTTCTCTTGTTTTTTACCTCTTTCACATTCTCACTCTTTCTTTCCTACTATCTCTCTCTCACATTCTCTTCCCCACTCTCTCTGTTCCTTTGTTCTTCTGCATTGACTCCTTTTCTTCTTACGCTTTCTATATTTCTTTCAGCTCTCTCTTACACATCCCCTCTCGCATGTTTCTTATTCTTTCTCTTGCATATTTCCTCTTCCGTATCTTTTCCCACGTTCTCATTCTCTTTATTTTTGACTCTCTCTCTTTCTCTGTCTCTTTTTTTTTTAAACTCTTCTCCTTTAAAAAGGGAAAAAGAAAAGAAATGTTCTTTTCCACTACCCTTTCACTTCCATCTTACTCTCTCTCTCTCTCTCTCTCTCTCTTTCTCGGCCTCTCTCTGTCACTCACTCGTTCATCTTCCTATGCTTTCTTCTTCATTCTCTTTACTTTTCTGCTTACTCTTTCTTTCCGTCTTTCTCTCTCACACACACACACGCGCGCGCGCAGTCTCTCGTTATTGACCTCTTCCACATTCTTACTCTTTCTTTCATACTGTCTCTCTCTCTCTCTCTCTCTCTTATAAATTCTCTCTTTCTATTTCAGTTCTCTCGTTCTTCCACATTCTTACTCTTTTTCTGTCTCTCTCTCTCTCTCTTTATAAATTCTCTCTTTCTATTTCAGTTCTCTCGTTCTAAAACATTCTTACTCTTTGAAAAATTCTTTCTTTCTCTCTCTCTCTCTCTCTCTCTCTCTTATAAATTCTCTCTTTCTATTTCAGTTCTCTCGTTCTTCCACATTCTTACTCTTTCTTTCATACTGTCTCTCTCTCTCTCTCTCTCTCTCTCTCTCTCTCTTATAAATTCTCTCTTTCTATTTCAGTTCTCTCGTTCTTCCACATTCTTACTCTTTCTTTCATACTGTCTCTCTCTCTCTCTCTCTCTCTCTTATAAATTCTCTCTTTCTATTTTCAGTTCTCTCGTTCTTGCAAACATTCTTTCTCTTTCTTTCATTCTGTCTCTCTCTCTCTCTCTCTCTCTCTCTTATAAATTCTCTCTTTCTATTTCAGTTCTCTCGTTCTTCCACATTCTTACTCTTTCTTTCATACTGTCTCTCTCTCTCTCTCTCTCTCTTATAAATTCTCTCTTTCTATTTCAGTTCTCTCGTTCTTCCATATTCTTATTCTTTCCTCTTACTCTTTCTATATTTCTTTCAGCTCTCTCTCTTAAACATCCTCTCTCGTATATTTCTTACACTTTCTCTTGCAGCTCTCTCTCTCTTTTTGTTCTTATTCAAAATGCCCACTCTCTTTCTTTCTCTCTCTAAACTTTTCTTCTTTAAAAATGAAAAAAGGAAAAAAAATTTTTCCTACATTCCCTTTCTTTTTCCCTTTCTCTTACTCCTTTTCGTTCTCCCTCTATTTCCTTTTCCTTTCTCCTTTCTCTTACGCTTTTTGTCCTCTCCCTCTCTTTCCCTCTCTTTCTCTTTCACTTTTTCCTTCTCTCTTTTGTCTTCCGCTTTTGTGTGATATCATGACACCAACGTTGTGTGGTACTGTGTGTGCGCATCCGCGTGTCTGTGTGTGCGCACGAGCGTGTATGCATACGTATGTATGTGTGTGTGTGTGTGCGCGCATGCGCGTGTCCGTCGCAGACAAGATCGATAAGAAGTGACGAGCGTCTAGTACAAACGACTAACTGTCTGGACTCTGAAGCGATTCGCTTTTATTTTATTTCCGATGACTCGTCTAACATTGATCTCGGAGCAGTCTCTTGTCCCACTGATCAAAAGACAGATAGAAGTAAGCAAGGAAAAATCGATAAAAAAAAAAAAAAAAGAAAAGGAAAAAAAAAGAGAAAGAAAAGAAACAGTGAGGGTTGGAATAAAGGTTAGGGGATGATATTATGGACGTATGGAAGGAAGGAAAGAAGGAAGGAAGATAGAAAACTCGAAATGGAGGAAAAATGAAGTGGAACCATTTTTTTAAAGGAAAAGAAAGAAAGAAAAATGAGAAAGTCACTTGAAAAAGCAACACAGAAAAAATATATAAATAGATGCATAAAACAAAATGTATATGGTGTATAAATAAAATGTTTATTAATTTTATTACTAGTGTCTGCTGCTTTTTAATGCTATGTCCATCAGGACGAAGGCGATCAGGACTCTCCACATTTTCCTTTTACTTTATTAACTGTGAATTGCAATGCCCTCTAGAGAAAGATAGTGGAGTGGTTTCCTGTTGCTATATCCACAGATAACTTTCCTTTATTGTCTGTAAATTGCCTTCTTGTGAAAGGAAGTGAAGTGATTTCCCGTTGCTTTTTCAACAAATTCCTTTTATTATAATCTGTGAATGGCATGGCCTTCTTGAGAAAGGTAGTGGATTTTTTTCCCCGTTAAATTCTTCACAGATTACTTTTCTTTATTATCTGTGAATTGTCTTCTTGGGAAAGATAGTGGAGTGGCTTCCTGTTGCCCTTAGCACAAAGTCCGCTTCTTTATTAGCTGTGAACAGCTATGCCATCTTGGGTATGATAGTGTAGTAGTTTACCGTTTCTACAAATTAGTTTTATTATCTCTGAATAACCATACCTTCTTGGGAAAGAGGATGGAGTGGTTTCCTGTTACATTCTTAACAGATGCCTTTTCTTTATTATCTGTGAATAGCCATGCCTTGTTGATTTGTCTTCTTGGGAAAAATAGTGGGTTGGTCTCCCGTTGCCTTATCAGCGGATTCTTTTTATTATATCTGAATAGCCATCGTTTCTTGGGAAAAATAGTGGGATGGTTTCCCTTTAGATTTATCACAGGTTCCTTTTCTGTATTATCTGTGAATTGCCTCCTTGGGAAATGTAGTGGAGTGGTTTGCAGTTGCCTCCCCAACGGATAGCCGTATCTTCTTGGGAAAGACAATGGAGTGATTTCCTGTTACATTCATCACGCATTCCTTTCCTTTATTATATGTGAATTGTCTTCTTGGGAAAGGTAGTGAGGTAGTTTCCCCTTACATTTTCAAACGATTACTTTTCTTTATTATCTGTGAATAACCGTGCCTTCTTGGTAAAGATAGTGGAGTGTCTTTTCCGTTAAATTCGTCACAGATTCCTTTCCTTTATATTATATGTGAATTTCCTACTTTCGAAAAGATAGTGGAGTGGTTTCCCGTTGTCTTCTCTACGGATTCTTTTTCTTTGTTATCTGTGAATAGCCATGCCTTCTTGGGAACGATAGTGGAGTGGTTTCCATTTACGTTTATCTGTACTAGTTTCTCTGTACTAGCAGCATGGCCCGGCGTTTCCCGTGCTTGATTAAAAAATCGTACGACTCATACAGCAATCGCTATCACTTGACTTAAAATATTTTTGCCCTTCCTTGCCTTTAAAGGAGTGCCCTTTGCCGTGCTGATGTTGCTACATGCCTTACTTCTTGCCTATCTCACACTGCGAATTTTTTCGAAGCTCTATACTAAACATTAAATCTGTTACGAAAAAAGAACTAAACAAAATGAACACAAAACGATCAGCTTTAAAAAAGACTCGTAACTGGAAAAACCGTATGAAAAAAGAATGTTAATACTTTTTCACACCCAACCCAGTTCTGCCGAATCAGAATCAAGTTGAGTTTAAGCAAGCGAATGAGCCAATTGGAGTAAAGTGCCATGCAGATTTAAATTTTTCCCACTTGTGACGAATGCAGCTATCGATTTTTTTAATGCTAGCATGCTAGTTAACATTCGTGTCAGTCAGCTGTTGGCTCTCACGCTGGCCAATAGAATCTTCCTGCCTATTTGTGGCAGCCAGCTATAGGCTCTCACTCTGGCCAGTAGAAAATGGCCGCAAACTACATGAAAACTGCCGTAGAAGCATGAAAAAATCGATTATTTCCACTATCGATGGAAATTGGGAAATGCAAAGTCGGTCTTGGCCTTCCCGCTAACTTGGAGCATGTGTATGTAAATTTTGGTGCGAATCCGTCGAAAATTGCGGCCGTGCATTCGTTAAACACACACACACATCCTGCTTTTTATAGACAGAGATTGCTCATCTAAAAATTGCTGACTAAAAATTGTTGATAAACATAGAATTGATTGTGTGTTTCTCTTGTACGCTCCGGCCTTCTTCAGGTGGTTGGAATTTCGAACTGAACCCTTTATTTCAATCACTGGAGTAGACTGTTCTAGTTCCACGTGCCATGTTTGATGGATGTCAGTTATCAGTTATCTCCTGTTAATTTCCCTCTGAAAGTTCTCCACTGCCTTAACCGGGTATTGAACTCACACTCTTTGGGTCCTGTCACTGGATCTAACTAACGCCTTTATCCACTGTGGATAAAACGGCCGAAACGTTGTGATAAATATGGCGACAAAGATGAGGACAATAATCCGAAAAATGTAAATAATGTACATAATACCTCATCTCAGAATAATGTACATAATACCTCATCTCAGAATAATGTACATAATACCTCATCTCAGAAATATATATAATGTGTGTGTGTTTAAAAAAACAGACCATTTCACCCTTGAAAGTGAAGCATGAACATCAAGAGAAAAATAAAATCTCCGGTGAAATAAATTATAACGAATGGTACTTTAAAGTTGTCTGTTTTTTCTTTAAATTAAATTATTCGCTCTGACTTAACAATGAGCTCCCCGGATTTCATCCTCCTTGGGATTATCCATAAGGATTATCAAGATTTTCGTTACTTTAATATATATATAGGTATAGATAGATAGATATTTGTGTTTGTGTGTGTGTGTGTGTGTGTGTGTGTGTGTGTTTCACTTGAGGTTTGGGATATGTCGCAAAATAGGTTCAAGTCACGGAGCCTTATTGACTGCACAATCGCCAATCGTAAATAGAAGTAGATCATAAAGCAGTTATACAGAAAGCATTAGATTACAGGAATTACGTTGGCTTCGCAAATTTAGAGCCGCAATGAGGGGATAATGTCGATGGGACTAAGGATATTTTTTTTTTTTTATCAGCGAGGAGGAGAGACGGTGTTGTGTGGAGTCAAGCGTCGGGTCAGAACAAGGGTAGCGACTAAAATAGATAAAAGGTAAACAACATTTATTTCCGGCAGCCATGACGATTGCCTAAGCTGGAAGTTGATTAAAACGAGGAAGACTGGAGAATGTGGTGGAGAGACGAGCGTTTGGGAAGAGTTCGGGCCAATCGGGAAGGCGATGTGGGAGACGGACGAGCAGATTGTGGTTAGGAAAGACGAGTAGGCGCTTTCAGGGTGGTTTACGAGAAGGAGCGAGAAAATTGCCTGTCTCGTGTGAGGGTGGGTGGGTATTAGGTAAAGAATATCAAGAACGATTAATCTTTGAACTCTGGTTTCGGCTGAGCTCTGTTGGTGGAAGGCGAAAAGCCTTTTAAAAGCAAACCGTCGTTGAAAGAAACGAATGGTTCATTGCTTCCACCAACACACTGACGCAAGAAATAACAAAGGTTGTCCTTTTTTTTTTTACTTTCTCTTTCATTTTATTTTTTTTTCTATTCTCCTCTTTTTTTTTTTAATCACATCAAGCAAAAGTACAAAAATCAATCTAAAGTCTGGTAGCTAAATTTATACCAGAAGGGAGAAAACTTATATATATATATATATATATATATATATATATATATATATATATATATGTGTGTGTGTGTGTGACCATTCCATACTTTTATTTAAGACAATGAAAATAACTTCAGCAGCATAGCTATTCTCAGCGTTGTATATAAAGGGTGTGGCAGAAATACGGCCCGAATTAGTGATAATGGTGTTTTCATCTAGCAAATGTCTTACCATTATGTGGGGGTATTGCTGGGGGGGGGTATATGTGAGAGTTATTTCTACCGAAACACAAATATATATATATATACATATATATATATATATATATATATATATACAAGTTTCATTAAAACGACAGACAAGGTACTACGATTAAGCTTTTTATTTAATTTTTCGTGTGTGCGAACATGTGCTTTCTTTTGGAGACACAGAGTGTGTAGAAACTGTCCCCCAAAATAAAGCATTTGTTCGAACACAAGAACAATTAAATAAAAAGCTTAATCGAAGTACCTTGTCTATCGTTTTTTAATGAAACATACATAAATGAAGAACTGCTGCCTAAATACACAATACATATATATATATATATATATATATATATATATATATATATATATATATATATAGAGAGAGAGAGAGATCTGTTTGTGTGTGATACAATAAAGAGCAAATAGGAAACGTTTATCAGTCTAACATGTTTCACTTTTATTAAAGCTTCGTCAAAGACAAAACAGACAAAAAAACCAGAAACGCTGGTATTTTCAATTATGTAGATTGATATACGCTTCCTATTTGTTCTTTATTTTATCAGCCTGTCGGATTCCAATCCATATTTGATCTGCATTGGATCTTAACTCATATATATATATATATATATATATAATATTTCAAATATAAAACTGTTCACTTACCTTATTGATTTAAATATGTATGTAAATACAAAAGCTGACACTGAGATCAACG